CAGAGGCTGCCCTGACTACCTTATCTTGAAGGACTACACTCTAACCCATTTTACTTTTTCCCTAGGGCTTACCACTTTCTTGACCCATTATATTTTATATTCTGTGTTATATTTTTATTAAATATTACATTTATGTTATGTAATTTATATTATATTATGTTTGTTTATTGGTTTCACCCACTAGAGTTTTGAGCTCCAAGAGGGCCAAGACTTTGTCTTGTTCACCACTCTATTTCCAGCGCTTAGAGCAGTGCCTGGTAGACAGCTGGTGCTCCATGTATTTGTGGAATGAATGATTACAGATTAAATGCTCAGCTGCCATGTCCCTATGGCTTCAGGGGCCTTCTAGGCCCTCTTACCTTCCTGCCCACTCCCAGACCACTTACTCAGTGAACAAACCTCTTTCCACAGGGAATAAAGCTCAGGCTGATAGTATGAACCACTACCAGCGGTTCTGAATACTTAATGATGGGCCGGTTCTTTGCTAAACCCTTGGTATATTATCTCATGAGACCTTGAAAAACCGAAAAGGTGACACCATTATGGTCTCACTTATAAAGGATGAAACATGCACAGAGAGATTATGTGTCTGGTCAGGATCACATATATAACATGGTACAGTCATGATTTGAATCGAGCACATTTGAATCCAGAGTTCATGCTCTTAACCATTAAGTGAAGAATAGAGTTTCCCAGAGAGGAAACCCAGAGACTGTTTTTTACACCAGGGAGGTCACTAATTCATTTCCAAACTTTTCTTGCATGCAGAGCTTGTGAGGAGGCAGAGGGAGCAATACTGGGGCCTAAACATAGAGGGGGTGTTAGAGGGAGGGCCTTCAATGTCCAGTTTGCCTCCTTCCTTCTTCTCCCTGTTTGGGGTCCCCAGATCCCGACAGCCTGGGAGGAATCCCATGCCAGATCGTCTCCCACTAATTGGCTTAACAAATCATGCTTATCTGGGCAAAGCTGGGGCCCAGTGAGTTTAAGATTAGGGAAAGCAGGATTCATGGCTTACTGCTCTGCTGCCCACGGGGTCAGAGGGGACAGGGTTAGGACTTTAATTAGCTTAACAGCGCTGAGTGGCTTAACAGCTCAGAGGGTTTTGTGGGGCGGGGAGGCGTGCTGGGCAGAAAGGGATGAATACACAGGTTGGTGTCCAGCCCACAGCCAGCTTCGTGTCTGACCAGAGGATCTGTGTGTTCTCTTGGGGATCAGTCTGTTTCTGTGCTAGGCCATTGCTCTGGAATCTTCTAATGTAGCCAGTGTGATGGTACCAGGGATAGAGCTTGGGCTTGGGAACTGGACAAAGGTAGGTGGACATCTCACCTCTCCCCTACTACCTCGATGGGTAACCTTGGGCAAGTTACTTGACTTCTCCAAGTCTCACTTTCTTGGCTTATAAATGGGTAAATCAACTGCCACCAGAGAGAAAGTTTCAGGGCAAAAAAAAAGATCATATTCCTAGAGCACCTCACATGGGGCCTCCTGAGGCATGGATGGTAAACAGTGTCTGTGAATTCCTTTCCTTCCTCTCCCAACTCAGAGCCCCATTTTGCATTTAAAATAATAATACACATTGTTTGAGAACAGAAAAACAAAGGACTTCAATCAACTGTGAAGAACTGGCGAGAAGTTACAAGGAGGATAGGGCCCACATTTATTTCATGTAGTTGACATTATTTTTAAAAACCTTAATTAGTAGTTAAATACTGGCAGAATTCATCCCCACCCCACCCCCCAAAAAAAATCCCAATATCTGATTTCTCAAGAGAAATCAAGACAACACCTGGTCCATGATTTCACATGGCACCATCAGCTGGAGCTGGGTAGTAGCTTCAGCTTCTCTAGGCTTGCCTCATACTGTTCCCTTGACTGAAACCTATGTACTGACACAGGTCTATGTTATCTAGCTCCTTAAAGTATTCAAATTTTGATTCAGCATTGTATCAGTACAAGCATGAGGAGTTATTTAGGTTTCAAATTAATTTATTTGGATTAATTTATTCAAAATTTCAGGAAGTAAATGACTGGCCAATCCCCCAGCTTTGATTCTGCAGGTCACACACACACATCTTCCTCATTACCCCAGGTTCCACCCGTGAGAACATCTGCACCAAGTCCCACTGAACAGTGAAGCTGTTCTTTGTGGGAACCTTTCACATGGTAAGCAAACATGTTGTGCCCACATTGCTTAGTTTCTAGGAATACCAACCCTGGTGGCCTCTCATCAGAATTTGCCTCCATTTAGCCATATCCTCAGTCATTTTAGAATCCAAAGCTTTGGGGACAGGAGCCCAGAGGCTCCAGCCCTGATAACTAGACCCAGAGTCAGAATTCCAGAAAAGGGAAGGCTCTTAAGGTCATCAAATCTATTATTCTCATTTTATGTACAGAGAAACTGAGACCCAGAGGTGGGAAGAGCCCTTGCCCAAGGTCACCTAGCAAGCTAGTTACAAACCTGCATAAAGTCTCCTGATCCCCACACTACCCCCAATCCAGCGCTTCTCTGACAATATGCACTGTCTCCCCATCCTTAGCCACATAGTTCAACTCCCTCCCCCTCCTTTCCCATTCTTATCTCAGTCTAGCAGAAGCCCTGACTTTCTATCATCCTGGAATCTTGGGATCTCAGACTCATAATTCTTCGAGCTTGGGGGACACTTTAGTGGCAGAATTGCAGGGTAAATAAATTGAACTTGGGCTTTGAAGGCAGAGAGTCTTGAGTCCCAACGCTTCTACTCTCTAGTCGTGTGACCTTGGGCAAGGATGTCCCCTTTCTGAGCCTCCATTCCCTCATCTGTTAAGTAGGAATGATAAGACAACCATGTTACAGGATTCCTAGGAGGGATACAGGAGATGAAGCAGGTAAAAAGGCAACCAATAGGCTGGTGCAAAGTGAGTGCTTAATAAAACAATTGTTACAGAACTGTAAATTAGGGGTCTCATGTCCAGATGTGATCAAAGAGACTGGAACTGGACAAACTGAAGCACGAATATCCTGTCTAAATTGTTCCAGGCCTGGAACTGCTAGATGCCTTTTTTTCCAAGGGAGAGTGAGGACTCTAAATTTTTGAAATATTATACAAGCTAGACAAAACACTACTGTAGGCCAGGTTCAATCCAAGAGCTATTAGTTTGTCATCCCTGCAAAATCACCTCATCCCAACCCCCTCACTTTACAAATAGGGTTGAGTAGAAATTGCTAGCCCTTTTATCTAAGAAACCATGGAGTTCAATGGACTCTCAGCCATCTGCGGCCACTCTCCTGAGACCCCACCCCCACCCCATTGTCGTTTTTTGCTCTGTTTGAGGGAAATTCAGTTTTATGTTTAAGAAAAAAAGTATTCATTCCTTGTAAGTAGATTCTGAGCATGGGGAGAAGGAAGTTTTGAGGTAGCCAGTGAGTCAAGGGGCAGTTGGCCCACTTTAGGCTGAAAGGAAAGGGGGATGAAGCTTTGGCTACCAAGAATAGGAAGTTACCATTTCAGAATCTAAAAATATCTTTCACCATCTGTCCACTCGGGCACAGAATGATAAATGCAGATTAGTTCCTGGATGTAGACATGAATATTTTTATGTGTCAAGCTAATAATAATAACACCACCTTTTGTGGCTAGAGTTCCACCCACCTCGTCCCCCAGGGCAAACTAAATGGAATACACAGAACATCTAGGCAAAGCATAGATGGAGAAACCAAGGCAGAGAGAGATTTGGCAACATAACAAGGGTGACACAGCAAGTGAGCAGCTGGGACAAACCCTGGGAGTCCTGTTTCCAACCCTCAGCCCAGAACTGAATCTACTGAGTTAAGCAGAACATGTTAACAAGTAGCAGAATAAACTTAACAACAGCAATAATCACCCTTTACTCTGCAGTAGCATTGACTTTTTCCATGTTTTCCCCACATCTGTGATAATCATGATAATCTATTGTACTCCTAAAATATGTTATAGTCTGCAGGGCTTTTACAAAGACCTTCCCTCACCTGACCAACCCAAAAAGGTAACAAAATGTGATGGTAAGTCAATGAGATGAAAAAAAGAGGGAATCTCCTTCATTTCACAGATAAGGAAACTGAGGCTTGGAGGGAGGAGGGGTTTGCCTAAGTTCAAATAGTAGGCAAGTTCATTCTGTCAGTACACAGTAGAGCCCAACTTACTAGAGAAATACAGACTCAAGGGAAACCCTAGGTTCAGAATTTCCCCTGTCTCCAATTAATTCAGCTCCACTCAGCATGCACCCTCAGTCCTGGCAGAGGAAGAAGCCTAGAATTAGGCTGCTGTACAAAGCCTCAGTTTTGTCTTACTGTCCTGAGATGAAAGAACAGCTAGTGGCTATCTAACCTCAGATTCAAGATCCCAAATCCCCTTAGCCCTGTTTCTTTTGAGAGTAAGGGTAGAGACACTGAAGAAATCTTAGGAAGCAGAAAGAGCTAGACACCTCTCAGCTGGGTCCAGTACACCCTTTTCCAAAAGTCCAAAAAGTTTGGGGAGGATATGCATTTAGTTGCCTCAAATTCTGTTTCTCCTGGGAGGTTGGGAATGGACTGCAGTTCCAAACTGAGAATCTTTGAGAGCAGGGAAGGACTTCTGAGATCTTTCCTAAGCCCATGTTCAGACTCAGCACTCGGGCAAAGTGGAGTAGGACAGGGCTGGATGGAGCCCTGGGGCCCTGTTCCAAGCTTCATATTCATCTCCGTTGGCCCTGGGCCCTCCTCATTCACACACCCCTGATGATCTCTTTCTCTTTCTCTTTCTTCTTGCCCCATTCCCTATCTTCAGCAGCCAGATCAGAGAGGATGGAACTGAAGCTGGTCAGAGTTAGAGGGCAGAGGTCAGTAAAGAGCCGGCAGAGAAGGAATTAGAACTGTAATAGGGTGGGGCGGGGCGGAGGTCAGGACATAAGGGGGCGTGGAGGGTCACAGAAGGACTGGGGCGGTGGGCAGCCCCTTACCACCCCCACTTTTCCAACTCGGTTCTCTCCACCTGAGTTTCTCCTACCTCCAGACCTGGCCGAGCTGCAGTAGGTGGACGAGGGTCTGCAGCAGCCAGACGCAGAAGCGGCAGCAACGGCGGCGGTAGGTGCTGGCCGAGGAGGGCGCGGGTCGGGAACCCAGCTCAGGACTGCCTTCTTTGGTCCGGAAGGCGACGACGCTGTCCTTGGTGCTGATGACCGGCCCGCCGGCACCGCTGTCCTTGGTGCTGACGGCTGGTCCCGGGGCCCCCGCGGGCTCCGTATAGTCGTAGACGAACCAGCGGAAGCTGAGCAGTTGCACGACAAGCGAGGGCAGGAGCACAAACAGCAACGTGAGGCCGAAGTAGGTGTGCTGACCCTCCAGGTAATAGGAGGCCGCCAGCCACAGGTCCGTGGCGCCGTCGGAGAAGAACACGAGCAGCGCGCACAGCACCCAGCAGCAGTCCCGCAGCTCGTAGCGAGCCTCCCCGCGCCCTCCTGCACTGCCCCGGGGTCCTCCGGCCGCCCCCTCCGGCCCCGGGCCGGCCGCGGCCACCGCTCCATCCGACTTCGCGGCCATGTTGGCGGAGCAGGAGGCGGGGAGCGACTTCCGGGCGGCGGAGGGGGGTGGGGTGCGGAGTGGGGAGGACCCTGTGCAGGCGGCTCCCGCCTCCTCTTCTTCTTCCTCTTCTTCTTCCTCCTCCCTAATACTTCAATTATTCATTCCCCTCGGCGCCGCCCCTGCCCTTCCCCCACCCCGCCTGGGCTGTGGCTGGATGGGGGCAGACCTCCGGGCAATGAAGAGGGGGAGGGGTGAGGAGAGCATCCCAGGTCACCCTCTCCTTCCTTCCTCAGAGGCGTGGGGCTCCAGCCACATGCTTTCTGCCTCTCGGCCCCCCTCCCCACTCCACTTCCTTCTTTCCTCTTTTCTTCACCGGTCCTTTCTCCATCCTTTCCTCTTCATCTCCTCTGTTTACCTTTGGTGGTCTGGGTCTGAAGAGGGTAGGGGACCAGGGACTTTGAAAACAAGGGGCTTTTTAGGCGGGCACCCTGATAACCCATTAGTAATCACTCCGTGCTCACACATCACTTCCTAGTTTCCAAAGTGTTCACATATTGTTCCACCCCTTTCTTTGATCTTGAGACGTCTCTTTTCTTATTGTCTTTTTCTTACTGCTTTGAAGCTGAGTAAACTGCAGCTCTGAGAGTTGCTGTCTCTTCCCACTCTCCCCTGTCCCTCCCTGAGGGACTGCCTTCATCTGGCCACAGCCCTAGTTGAGACTGGGAAGGGGGCAAAATCAGAGGGAAAGGAATGGGAGGAAACGCCAGGTGGAGAAAAGAGCAAATGCAAAGGCCTTGAGGCATGAGACTGGAGGGCATGTTTTCAAGGAAGTCTGGATCACAGCTCCAAGGAGCTGGAAAGCTAAGAAAGATGGGACTAGAGAGCTCCAAGGGATGCAATCCTAAAAGGCCAGAAGCAATAGGCAACCATTGCAGAATTTGAGCAGGGAAGTAATATGATCAAATCAGTATTTGGAAAAAAACATTTTGCAGCCAGAGGAGAGAACTGCTTAGAGGGAAGCAGCCTGGGGTTGGAGCGAACAGAGACAGACAGAGAGAGAGGTAACAGAGAGGTAACAGTAATCCAGGAGAGAAGTAGGGTCCTTCATATGTCCTGGGTATCCCTAGCTCACCACCCCATCTCACCCTGCTTTGCTCAGATTGGATGTACCAGGGTATCTATGATACAGAGACTCATATAGCAGTTTCTCTTTGCTCAGGACCATTCCAAACACTACATTTACTAACTCTTTAACCTTACAATTTGTGAGGTAGTGTTTGTTTTCCTCCCATTTTACAGATGAAGAAACTGACTCACAGAGAAGGTTGTTTGTGTGTGTGGAATCACACAAAGTGCTTACAGTTAGTAAACACTAAGTCAAATTCAAAGCCATCATCCAGTTCCAGAATAAGAACCTTTCTACCTTCCAAGGGGAGGATAAGAATTAGGTGAGAAGGGGAGGAGAGAGGAGGGGAGGAAAGGAGGTTTGAGGATCGTCCTGCCTCAGAGTGGCAAGAAAGGGAAGATGAAAGGAAGACAGCTGCCTTGGGCTGGAAGCAGCAGCCATCTGCAGCCCTTCGGCCCAGCATCCCTTTCATGTCCAGGAACTGTTTTGGTCCCAGAGATGTTCAGGAGGTTGGACTGGCAGCTGTTGTCCAGGGTTGAATGTGGAGGAGGAAGAGTTAGGGATTAAGGGAATTTTCCAAGCTGGATAGAAAGCTGACAATCTCCCCATTGGCTTGTGTAGACTGGTGGGAGTTTTGATGGGTTGGGCTGGAGGGGAGTCAGAATCCCAATGTGATTAAACAAGAGCAGTGTTCCTTCTTTTCTCCTCTACAACCCTAGGTAGGGAGATTCATGGGGTGCACAGAACCAAGAGCAGAGGGAAGATCTGACCCCAGACCCACCTGTGACCCTGGGCCAGTTCTACATGTGTCTGATAGGGCCTGACAGAGTCAGGTTCTTGGCCCCACCCAATGAAGACAGCCCCTCTACCTCCCATGCTTCTCCACATCCCAGGATCAGCCTGTTAAAACAGGCAGTAGAAGACACACTTTTGCGTCTGAGACTCTAGAGTCAGGAAACCTTGGTTCCAAACCTTCTCACTCCTTCCTGGTTCTGTGACCTTGGGCAAGTCACTCAATTTCTCTTAGCTTCAGAAAAGAAAGTAACATGATAGGCATGGGGGATAACCAATGCCTTCCTCCTAGGGCTGTGGTGAAGATAATTAATGCTAATCATTAGCTGGGGTGTTGCCTCCCTCTGGAAGCCCTCCTGGATCTCCCACCCAGTTGTGCCCTGGTCCCTATCTCTCAGAGAAATAGCCCTGACCCCCCTTGTTATGAGCTTCCATGACACTTTAGTCTTTTCCTTCTTAACATCAGTACACTGGAAATTTATCTTGTTATGTCTGCCTGTTTGGAATTGCCTGGGAGTCCCACCAGAGTTGGAATAATTCATCTATTTTCTTCACTAACAAATCACTGTTCCTGGCATTCAGCAGATATTCTGTAAAAATCATTGAATGAAAGAATGAATGATCAGCCCTATGAAATAGGTTCTGCTATTCTATTTTATAAACAAAGTAACTGATTCAGAAAAGGGCAGTGACCTACGTGACCATAAACCCTTCTGTATACCAGAAGCTGTGTTAAGAAATCTACCGAAATTACCACGTGTTATCTTCAGACCATCCATTTTGGAGGGGGTGAGGAAACTGGGACTCAGGGAGGTCCTGTCATTTACCCAAGACCATTAATTAGGAAGTCGAAGAGTTGGCATTCATGAACTCTAGTTCAGGCACCTGGAGTGGCATAGGGGAAGGAGCAGGTGGTGTGCCTAGAGTGTGGGTCAGTTGGGAGAGACTCACCTGTCGGTGGCACTATAGTGGGGACTCTGCCCTGAACGAGTTTGGACCGGTGTGTTCTGAGTGGCCTGAGGTCAGAGATCAGGGATTCAGACTGAGACCAATAAGGAAGTACAGGAATGGTGTTCCACTGGGGGCTGAGGCAGAACAGCTCAGGCAAAGGCTCTGCAATGGGACTGAGCCAGGCTCAATCAAGCGCTACAGTGGGGCTGGGGCTGGCTGATGTGGAGGCAGAAGGTGGACCAGAGCTGGTCAGAAGTGGGTAGGTCCTTTGACATTGCATCCAGTTCCCTAAGTTCTTTCATTTTACAGGAACACTGTAAACACAGACAGAAGTACATGTAACAAGCGGCAGAAGCAAATCTGAGAACTTTCCCTTTGTGCCCAAGGCCATGGATTCTGGATTTTGTTGGGAATCACTCTTGGGAACAGCTTTTATCACATCAGTTAGCCAAGAGCTCAGTGCATGCCAACCACACCCTCTGCTTGGACCAGTTTCTAATACCATTCCTTAGTTCCTGTGCAAATTATGCACAAGATAATTGACACAGCATTGTTTATAACAAGAAAAATTGGGAATGACCCACTTACCTATTAGTAGGTGACTGACTAAATAAAGCGTGGACTTCCTGATGACGGAATGGCATATGGCGGTAAAGGGGCTTTTGAAGCACTCTGTCTCCTAATATAGAGACGTGTTCATAAGGAAAAGCAATGGACAGAAGAGGTGAAAAGTGGGACTAATAGTTTATATTTGTAATTGTTTGCATATGCATAAGGAAACTTTGGAAGTCTACGTAAGGAAATGAGATTACTGGGGAGCATCGGGCAGAAGGGAAACAAGGATGGGAGGGAGACTTTATTATATAACTATTTATAATTTCTTGAATCATGTGAATGTATTTACCTATTAATAAAATGAAATAATAATGGGGACAGCTGCTAATCAGCTACTGCTGAGTGCTGTCATATGGGAATAGGCGCTCAGTGTGGTCACATTTTCCAATTATTCAAGAGAAGCCAGAAATCCAGATTTTATTGTGAAATCTCTTGATTTTTAAACCTTGGATCCATTTTTTCTCCAACACTTTTCAGGCCAAATAAATAGGTCAGTGGGTCAGACACGGCCTGACAGCCACCAGTTTTCAGCCTCAGCTCTAATGGCTTCCGGCTCCCAGAGCTGGGAGTTCTCAGCACACGAGGTCCCTGCCCCCACGTGGGTAACTACAGACGAAACAGAAAAGCGTCTTGTCCTTCCCCTTTTCTGGCACCCTCCAACCTTTGTCCCTTGGGGCTGTGACATTTGGGGCTTTTAACTCAAGATCTGGAAGGCAGAGAGGGGTTATGAACGCTCAGATAAATCCCTCCCCTGGGGCCCTGCAGGCATCGAGGCCCAGCTGCCTCCTGCTGCCCACCCATCTGTCCCTGGGAGGTGGGGACAGGAGTGGGGCTGGCAGTGATGGGGGCGGGCAGAAGTCTCTGCTCTGAGCCTCAGATCACCGGGCTCTGTCTAGACTCAGCATCCAAGAGATTGCAAGAAAAGAAAAGCAAGGGCTTTCCCCTACCTAGTCAGTGTGTGCTGAGGTAATTCAACCAAATTACAAAATGTCAGTGCTGGAAAGGCCCTAAGAGGACCATCTCATCCAACCCCGCTCGTGCACTGCAAAGACTGCCTTCTGCTCCCCAGCACCCCACCCCAGACCATAGCCTTGTCACCTCTCTCCTGGACACCTGGACCACACCAGCCTTCACTGGGTACCCCACAGCCCTTCTTCCTCCACCTATTGATCAATTTTCACCATTAGCCAGAGGGGCCTTTTTGTTTTAACAGATGTATACATATATATATATATAATTTTTATATATCATATTATATATATATATTTAATTTATTTATTTGTGCCAGGTCTTCGTTGTGGCAAGTAGGATCTAGTTCCCTGACCAGGGATCAAACTCTAGCCCCTTGCATTGAGAGGGTGGAATCCTAACCACTTGACCATCAGGAAAGTCTCCAGTGGAGGGGAAGGGGGCTTTAGAAAAAGGAAATTTCATCAGACCCCATTCTGCTTAGAACTTTCTGACTACTTCCTATCTCACTTTGAATCTGAGTCCTCAGCCCTACCTATAGTGTTTCTCAGGCTTTCCTCCCCGA